TATGTCTCTCGGTAGGCGTTCGATATCGACCGAGAAAGGTAAAGAGATTTCGAACAGTTCCGACTTCTCCAAAGATCGAGTATCTCCTAGGCGTCGGTTAATTGAATCCGAGCTCGCACATCAAGAAGCTTTACGCGACCAAGACGGGTTAGATCTATCTCAGCGGCTGCTCGTTATGGTTGATTCCGAGAGACTTAGGCGGGAAGGGGAGGCCGCCGGAGGACGAAAATCTCTCTGCTCGGGAGAAGGCTTGAGCGATACTCGGGGCAGAGATGCACCGGCAACTCTCTTTGCTCGGAGGATGAACCGATGATCCCTGTTCACTTCTTCCCGGAAGGATTGTTCGAGAAACTGCCAGCCCTTCCTCCGGAATTCTCTCGTCCGACGAACGTGGTCGGCCAAGATTGGGATAATGTTCACAAGACCCGGTCGAGCGTAGCGACCGTCAAGACGATTCTTCGAGAGCGAGGAGGGCAAGGGGTGACGTTCATCATTCCGAATGCGAACCAGAGGCCTTGGACACCACCAATCGGGTATCAGTGTGTTTACGAATCATATTTCCAGAAGGACACCCGCCTTTGGTTCCCGATCCCTCGGTTGATTACTGCTTACTGTTTTCGCCGGGACGCGGCGATTTCCCAGTTCATTAATGGCTCCTTCCGAGTAGCCGTCGGTCTCATGGTCATGGCTGCCGAGCAGGACCTGTCGTTAAGTGTTCGGGCCTTTAAAGAGCTTACGACGGCGTCGAATATGAAGAATGGTTATTTCTCGGTAAAAATGCGATCCGGTTTAGGCATTCTTCAGGGCCCGCCGAACAAAACCGACGATTGGCAACGTTGGTATTTCTACGTTAAGTCGGATAAGAACGCATTCGAGGAGCCTCCCAGCGAGGATTTTAGGGTCCTCTGGAATTCGAACTTCGGTAGAATACTTAGCCGAACACATTTAAAGTTTGTTTCAGAATTAATCCGTTTTCTCTGTCGTTGGCTTTGTTTTTGCAGTTCCGCACTCTAATACGAGGGATTATCCCGAGGACTTTCTTCGCGTCGTTCAGGAACTTGCTCGTGCTTCTCCTCTTCATTGGTCCAACGTCTCCTTCTCGCGCATCCGAAGGTCACTTGATCGGATTTCTAGAGGTGCTCGGAAGCTTATTCTTCTTCTTTTGTCGCGCGACTACTCTGTTACTATGATTCTAACTTTGCTCCTCTTCATTATTTTTCTCAGTTGACTGGAGATCTGATTTGCGAGCTGAGGTCCGAGGTCGTAACCGTCTTAACATCTTCTCCAAAGAGCGTTCCCCTCCGAAGAAAAAGGCCAAAAAAGATATGAAAGATATTGTGAATCTTTGCGACCTCATTGGTGACGAGATTGAGGAAGCCGAACCTTCGCACCCTCGGGTCAACGCACCGACCACCGGGACCGATCCTTCGGACCAAATGGCAACAGACGTTCCTACTCGGAACGATGAGGACGGAGCGTCGGTGAGTGATGAGGCCGAACCCTTAACGAGGAAGAGGAAGAGACCGAGCGCCACCGTTTCGGAAGCAGAGCCGGTCTCCGAGGGTTCACTTCCCGTCGAGGATAGGAACGAACGCGCTCTGGTAGTTTCAGAGCCAAATCCGACCGTTGATGTCCGGACTTCTTCTCCAATCCCGGAGAGGGATCCGATGCCGGTGGATAGCTCGGGTAAGGACCACAACTTGCCGTCAGGCCCGAACGTGACTGCCGGGGATGAGAGGCATCTGGTGGAAGCCGACGCCGAGACCTCCCGGAGCAAGAAGAAGAAGAAAGGAAGTTCGAGGACTTCCGATACGGGAGAGCCTACGACTACAGACCGGGTCTCCGAAAATCCCGTTCCCGCTCCTTCTTCCCAGAGGTCCAAATCGTCTGAAGCCGAGGGATCCGCTCGAAGACCGCGAGCCCCGGGTAGTTCTGTTCCGGCCTCCGTCCCGCCGACGGTAGAGGTTCCGCACCCTCGGGCGACACAGTTGGCAGTCGAGAAAGGAGGGGTCACTCTCCCTGGCCGCGTAGTGAAGAGTTTTAACGATAAGGTGGACTTCCACCACGAGGACGTGGCCCCGCTCTGCTCGTTACCGAACAAGTGTGCTGATTTAGTTCGCCAGATTCGGGTTGGACCTAAGCCACTTCCCCCCGTCTCGGACCTGATATTCGGCGATGACTTCACCGACTCCGCTAGCGCCGATATTAACGTTAGTCCCTTTCTCCTTCGACTTGACCTTATTTTCTTTGAGTTGTGATCTCTTCCAACGATTTCCTTCTCATCTATTGCGCAGGCTATGGCTCGGCGGAACTATGTGGTCAACAAATACGATCGAGCCCTCCGCCACTCGATGGAGAAGTGCGAGAAGGCCGAGAGAAGAGTTGCCGCGAGGGACGCTCTTTTGGAGAAGAAAAAGGCCGAAATGCTTGAAGTCTCCAAAAAGCTTTTGGATGAGAGGGACCGGGCGCGCGCCCGCAACCTGGATTACAAGAAGAGAGCCGACGCCCGAGAGGAAGAAGCTAGGGTTGCCAGAGTGGCGTTGGGTGAGGCGGAGCGCGAGAAAGCTTCAATGGCTGCTATCATCAAGGAGAAAGACCAGGAGCTCAAGAGACTGCGGCGATCGCGTACCCACGAGGTTACGCTGGAGAGAGTTCGCGTTCAGACGGCGTATGCATCTAAATTTCAGCGCTGTTTCCAGAACATTCGGGATTACTTGTCTCGTCGGGATATCTACGAGGAGAAGCGTCAACTCTTCGGTCGAGCTTCCGGGGTCAAGAGCTGCCTCGAAATGATCCGCGGGAAGGGTCATCCTATTCCGGATGGCATTGTGGCGACTTTCGAGACGAAAGCTGCGGAGTACAAGGAGCAGATGAATAGCGTGGAGGTTGGAGACCTTCCTGAAAGTTCCCTGACACTTTCTCCTTTGGTGCTTCCGTCCCTATTTGTGGACGATCGCTTATTTAATTTAAATTTTAAATAAATAAATTAAACCCAACTAAAATTAAAATAATATGAATATGAATCTCATACATTAAAATAAATAATAATACCATGTCAAATGATGATTCGTTTTATAAATTATATTTTGTAACTGAGCTAGAAGAAAACAAACTTGATTGAACTAAATCAAACCATTGAACACAAACCAAACAGAGCTAAAACCAAACCAAACAGAACACAAACCAAACTAAACTAATTAGAGTTGACTTTGATTAAAGTTTTCTTATACCCAAATAAACGAAACTTAATCAAACCCAATCTGAACCTATAATTAAACCGAAACACCCATCCCTTATAAGTTAGTTACATGGAGTTTGCTAAACTTTCCTTCAGTAAAATACGTTTTGATTTCATACATTAACATCAAACCCAAGAAAATAATGATATCGTGTCAAATGATGACTTGTTTTTATTTTTCAACTTAACTTTATTAATAATATTGTAAGGAAATTATACAAATACATACATAATAAGGAAAACACAACAAATAACATAGGTAATATAATAAGAAAAAAATTGAACTGAAGAAATAGAATCAAAAGTTGATTCTCTTTGAGAAGTCTTTGTTAATAGAGTATCAACTCTATTGATTTTCTTCTGATCTTTAATTTTTTTTTGCCGGGTTAGAAACATTGATCCTCTTGTTGTATTACATTGGTCTTCATCCAATTTAAATAAATTCTTCGGTTTAGAATCCAATATATTGATTCAACCATAAAATATAAAGATTGGAAAGACCAATTTTCAACAATTGTATAGATATCGCCATACAACAAAGAGACTAGAATTTCGCCGTTGTATTGTTGTCGCTTCCATGATGTAATCCATGATTTTAACATTGTATTTTTTTATTTGACAACGAAAGACTGATCATGATATTAACATTGTATTTGATACCAAATATACTGTATCAAAATATAAAATCTGGAAAGACCATTTTTGGACGACAACAATCTTATTACTTTAATTTCTAGATCCTTTTATGCATCTTGAATTCATGGCGGTTTTTCTGGTGGATGTTATCTCCATAATAAATCAGTTGATTCGAAAATCCTCACAAATTGATTGGGTGTTTTTCCATCGATCATAGCCATAAAATCCATGTCGAAGATTGCAACATCATATTAAAAGAAAGAGAGACTAACCTCCAGTCTGCTGTAAATGGAGTTGTTCTCTGATAAAGAGAAGAATAGAAAACACATGATCACCGAAAATCTGATTAAATTGATTGTAATTATTGAACGAGTGATACAAAGAAAACAATAGCTTTCCCCATCGCCAAGTAACCGTAACTGTCTTGCCTATTTTTGTTTTATTTCAAGGACAGATAAATTATCTCCTTGATTTGTTTATATTTTATAAATTACATTTGTAACTGAACTAGAATATAAATAAATAAAAAACACTTAGACTGAACTGAATAAACATAAACTAAACTAAATTAAACCAAATCGAACACAAACCAAACAGAGTTAAAACTGAACCAAACACAAATCAATCCGAACAAAAATAATACTAAACCGAACACAAAGCAAACCAAACTAATTATTGACTTTGATTAAACTTTTTCCTATACCAAATAAACGAAACCGAATCCATAATTAAACCGAAATACATACACCTATAAGTTAGTTACATGCAGTTTGCTAAATTTTCCTACGTAAAATACATTTGATTTTTCTTGTATAATAGAAATACATTTGATTTCAAAGGCATTTTACAAAGAAAAAAATATTAATTAATTTAATTTTTGTATAGAATAGTTGTTGTTGGAAAAAAAAAGAGACAGAAGAGCAAATTACTTTTTAATTAGTTATCATCTGTTTTGATTTATTAATGTTTGACTTGAGTCTCTCCATTTTTATTCTAGAGCTGTCGAAAATCATTTAAAGATTTTAAATTATTCTCGGTCTCCAAGACTCATGCGAGTCGGGCTCTCTTTGAATCTGTGGACACCATCTTCGTCTCCGACAAAAAAAACTGTCCGTGTCTGATCGCAATGCATGCTCTAAAGGACAAGGTCTCGCAGAAGCTATCGAATCTCTTCGCCGATTCCCCTTCCCAATCTGCATCTCCTCGAATCTCCCTCACCGATTCTCCAAAGGTATTACATTTCCTTGATCACCTCTCTCTATTGTCCCTTTGATTTTGGATCTCAACCAAAAAAAACAAAAGATCCTTTCTCTGAATGACATTTTGAATTTGTCTAGGCTTCAGGGAAATCGTTTTCTTCGTATTTCTCATTTGGTTCTGGAAATGATGAGAATGAAGATTCTGAATCATTACCTCCTCCTCTTCCCATTAGAACAGACAGCTACGAGTCTGTTGAGAATTGCAAACAAGAAGATTGCAAAAACCAAGCTTCGACAATGATCTCCAACAAGGACGGTGAGGTTGGTGCTTCTGTGAAAGTAGAATCGCGTAATGATTACTGTGAAGGTGTGAAGGAGATGACAGAGAGCTCTGCTTTTATCTCTGCGAACTTGTGTGAGTTCTTGCACGCGTGTCTTCCTAATATCGTGAGAGGATGCAAATGGGTCTTGGTATACAGGTAAAAAAAGAATGATTGATTGTTTTTATAAGAAGAGACTTTTGTTTGGTTTTTGTGTATTAACTTTTAGTCGTGATGAAGGGCAGTACGTTGAAGCATGGCATATCACTGCGTACGCTTCTGCGTAAAAGTGCTGAGCTTCCTGGTCCTTGTTTATTGGTATTATTTGCTTCGCCCTCTTGTGTTCTTTGATAAATTTTGAAGAAAAAAAGATAAACACGAAAGGTTTGTGATGATTGGTTTATGGTGTAGGTTGCTGGAGACAAACAAGGTGCAGTTTTTGGTGCTTTGCTGGAATGTCCATTAACAACTACTCCTAAGAGGAAATATCAGGCATGCTAGCTTCGCGTTTGCATTTTCTATGATATAATGTTATCATCAATATAACATGTATGTGATGTTGTTTTGATGATAGGGTACAAGCCAGACATTCTTGTTCACAACTATTTATGGTCAACCACGCATATTTAGACCTACCGGTAACCATCTAGACTATTTCTTCTGAATTACTTATGGTCACCACACATGGATAAGGTATACGGGAAGAAGAATATAGAGAAAACTGGAAAGTGAAATCTCAGGAGAATGATTAAGTCTCTCTCCCAATTACAGATCTTAAGAATATTGGTTCAAACTGTTCCTCATCAAAAATTCCATTGGTTTTTAAAACTTGATCCACACTTGTTCTAGGTAGTTTTCTAGAATGAAAGAAGGAAATAGACTTAATATAGTAGATGATGGAAGGGGCAAGTAACTTGTTAAGGATAAGTTGTGGAAGGTGGTCTTTGTCTGTCTACTCAGTGATTTTCTTTGTAAAATTGTGCAGGTGCCAACCGATATTACTACATGTGTATGAATGAGTTTTTGGCTTTTGGAGGCGGAGGAAGCTTTGCGCTATGTTTAGACGAAGATTTGTAAGGCACAATCTAGGCTCCATATTATTTTGAAAACTCTCACTTTTAATCATTTTTTGATGTCACTCAAACCGAATGTTTCTAAGGTTGAAAGCAACAAGTGGACCTTCTGAAACATTTGGCAACGAATGCTTAGCTAGCAGCACAGAGTTTGAGTTGAAGAATGTCGAGGTAAACATCAAATTCCAACATAACTATAAAATCTTGAAGTAAATCAATTCATGTTCTTGTTGTTAAAATCTGCAGCTTTGGGGATTTGCGCATGCGTCTCAATACCTCTCCTCCTGATTTTGGAGACTTCTTCTTTATACATCAGAAGAAAGCTTACCCATCTTTTTGAATCCATTAATTGTTTCAGAAGTTATGACAGTTTTGAGGGTTTACATGATTGTATCTGTGTTACTGAGAATACAAATTCAGCTGTGACATAATTTTTTTGTGAGAACAATAGTGTAACTTTTGTTATATATATCTATAAGAGCAATATCATCTCAGAGAGTGATGCAAATAACTTTGAGAATGGGAATGGCAGTTTATGTTTTTAAAGAGGTTTGAATAAATTACATCTAGAGATGAAACAAGAAGAAAGAGGATTGTATTCAGAGACAAGAAGAGAGGAAGGATCTCAAGCAAGGAAGCCAAGCCTCTCTCCATTCTTCTTAGCAAGCCTGATCAATCCTTGTCTCTGTTTCGCATCAGCTCCTATCGATTTACAGAACTCCGTAATCACCTAAAGAAAAAAAAACACACACACTAAGTTTTCAAGATCTAGAATGATAGGATTTTAAAAGAAGACCAAACCTGAGAGTGTAAAGCAATGGCTTTGCCTCTAAGCTGATTAAACCTTTTCTTGCCTACAACGTTCCTAGTGACAACGACTAGAGGAGCAAATAAGCCTTTGCCTTCGTTGACATTCTTCATCATTGGTTGTACTCTGATGGGTTTCCGTGACAGTTTAGCCTGTTGCCATGGCACAGTTGTTTTGGCGAGCAAGGTGTGGTAATCCTCACCGGAGATTGAACTTCCCCAACCTCCATAGAAGGAAGTTCCTAGTAGACCTTGATTTGCAGAAAGTGAAGCAACAGCCATAAGAATCAGCTTCTCTCTCTCTGTTAAGGGCTGCTAATGGTGGAGAAGAAAAGGAGAAATGTTTAACATTTTGGTGTGGACGAGGAGGTTTGGGTGTTTTGTCTTGGTTTTGGATGGAGAAACGATAGCCACAAATATGATTCTGGTTTTTATACATCTCACTTTCTCCACCGTCCGATCATTTTTTTTTTCTTCTCCACTCTTTTAATAATATTAGTCAACGTCTGAGCCAAGTGGCTTCGGTAATCTTTAATTTACGGGGGTAAAAGTTACAAGGGATTGTTTTTTTAATTAAGCCAAGTTGTTGTCAAAGATGTTACATATTACTACCTTGAAATGATAATTTGGAAACTTGAGAGAGAGATCGTGACGAATGGGATTAATAGTAGTAGCATCAAATCAAAGCAAGACCATGAAAACGTAGTAGAGTACAAGAGATGAATATGTTCATCATAACAAAGCAAGTTCCATAGCTTCAGACATAACTAAGCAGAGAGAAACAGAAAGAATGTACATGCATGCATCCACCAGGTTCAGAGATATGGAAGAGCTCCATGGGCATTAGAAGATCCCGAACGTGTTCTCCCCACTGTAACTCATGTAGAGAAACCCATCTTCGTCCTTGTGCTCTTCATAAACGGAAGACATTATCGCAGCTGCAATTAAAACAAAAAGACACTATTAGCTCCACATTAACCAAAAAAAAAGAAAGATTTGATTAGTTAATTATAAAACTGGACAAGAAAGATGACCAGTTGGTGGAAGGATGTTCTTGACGAAAATGAAGATGGCTTTCTCAGGACTGAGCTTGATCCTCTTCCTCACAACATAAACAAACTGACCAACTGTCAGATCAGCTGGGACCAAGTACCTTCAAAGTGTTTTCCACATGACATAACTTAGTTTCCAATATCTCAAACCATCAATAAGCTATGAAATCAAGAAAACATACTTTTTCTTGTCAATATCAGGGACATCACTCTTCTCGGCTCTTTCAACAATGACCTGCACAATAACAAAGAGAGAATAAGCAAAAAGCAAATATATGCAATTTTTCTTGAAAGAAGATAATAGATGGGGGAGAGGCTGATACGGGTATTCTATCTGGATACTTGTCTCTGATTCGAGAAGCTTCAGCTTGTCTCTTTTCTGTAACATATATATAAGAGTAATCAATATTAAACAGAGTTATCATCTGTTCGTATTCTCAGCAAACACCAAAAACAAAACAATAAAATATATGCTTAAATCAAGATTATTATGTACACACTAATCCAAAAGAGCGTTTCTATATAAAATCAAGTGGATCTGATTATCTTTAACATCCACTCTCCTCTACATGAAACAGAGATAAAATCTTCAATTTGGTAACTCGAATTAATGCATATGCGAAAAGCAATTGAAATTGAGGACACCTGGTACTTGAATTGACATGTTTCTAAGATTAGATTTTGGAAATTTCGCTAAAGAGGATGAGATACACAAAGATCAGAGAGATTGGTCGATTAGGGTTAAATCAAAAGATGAAAAACGTTCAATAAAAGGGGGAAAAACGAAACGAACCGAGAGGATGCTCTTGCTTGAAGGAACTGATCGCCATAATTGCACGAGTTTCGCTGAGAAGGGAAGAAGAATGAGAAAATTGAGGAGGAGGGTTTGCTAAACGTCGAATTGAGATAACGAACGAGATGCACTTGAAATATTTATAGTCTATATATACATATACATTAAATTATTATAATCGACAAAAAGATTGTTATAATTTGTTATTTAATAAAAAAAAGAAACATTTTGGAGTATCTACCGAATGTATATAAACTTGACACGTAAGCATAGTTGTTAAATATTCATAAATAATCTTAAAATTTTCAAATTCTTATTATTTAAACTAAATATCTTTACACAATATTAAATAGTCCAAAAATATTTATAATTAAACAAAATTAAATTATAGTTTTAAATTATAAATAATTATTTAAAAATAATTCAACAGATGATAAAATTTATAATTTCGATTGTACAAATATATTTTAAATTTTAAATTTGCAAAAATTTCTATTATTTCGTTAATCAATATTATTATCTACAATTACATATATGTTATTTTAGTGTTTATTATAATATATATAAATTTATTTTATATAAATATTAAAATTTATATATAATTTCTAATTTTAAAAAGTTTTTATCACAAATACAAACTTTAAAAATGACCAAAATAAACTTAAATGTTTTATCAAAAAAGCAATTATACACTTATACCCCTAAGATTAATTAATCTAGACATTAAGTTTTAAAGTTAAGAGGTGGGGTTTAGAGTTACGGTTTAATTTTTAGAGTTGAAGAGTGGGCTTTTGGAGATAGGATTTCAAATTTTTTAAAAATTTAAAAACTTCAAACTAAATAAATACTATTTTGGTTATTTTAGTTTTTAAGATCTATCTTTGTGACAAAAACTTAAAAACATCTATTTAAGAGAATTGCCCTAAACAAAACACAACATAATTTATTAAGAATAAAAATTACTAAATTAGTTATTCTAATAAGTTTATGTTAATCTATAAGTTTCTATTTAAAAAATAAACTTAATGATACGTTTAGCATAATATATAAGTAATTAAATTTAAATACTATCAAAATATTAATAAAAAATAGAACTATTAAAATTTAGTGATAATATATAGTAATTTGTTATATATTACCAATAAATTCTCTTTAATAACTTCGAATAACATGGTTTACGTTCAGATTAATTCATATGCACAATTCAAAAGAAAAACATGTATCTTCATAAATAGTACAATTAGTATTAGATTTTCAAGTCGCATACCTAATTTGAATTAGCTTTTTGTAATGAATTAGCTACTATTTTATTATATATATATATATATATATATATATATTTATATATATATTTATATATATAATAGGAGAATTTGTCATATATGACTCAAAACATGATTTTAAATACAAATCTATATCCAAACTTGAATAAAATGCAAAACTAACCTAAAAGCCTTGTGAAATTACAACCAACCGCTTGTGACCAAACAAAAACACAAAAATCATTTTTACGAATATAGCCCCAGTAAGTCGTCTCAGATGTTGGAAGTCGTCTAGACGATAGTCGTCTGATGTAGTTGATTTTAAAAATAATTTTTAAATTTTTAAAACATATTTTGACATGTGAAAATTAAGATCATGTAAAAGTCTTAAGTGATGTAAATTAAGATATAATAAAATTGAATAGTTTTCAACATAAATAAATGAAAGTAGTTGATAATGATACTCTTTTATTTTAGGGTTTGACAATATATGTTGTAGTATTGTATGTATTCTTTGGGTTTGATTTTGGAAAGCTTGAAGGTTTTTTTGAAAAATTATTTTTTTTTACCTATATGTGTTTATTTTTTTGTATATTAAACACTTTTTAAGTTTAATTTTATTTTATGAAGTGTTTAGTTAGCAAATTAAGTTTAGAGGTTATGTTTAGGGCCTAGACGACTAACTTGTAAGTCGTCTCGTGAATAACTTAAACTAGATGACTTACAGGTAAGTTGTCCTAATATTTCTGCTTAAAATTTAAGAAAATTTTATTTTGCCGCTTAAATATTGTTTATTCAGAAAAAGAAAAAATAAAATTTTACATAATAATAATTGTTTACTAAACTAAAACTGAAAATCTAATGTCTTTTTGGAAAATTAAATTTTTGCCTATATGTGTTTATTTCTATGTAGAGTAAACACTTCTTTAGTTTCATTTGATTTTATGAAGTGTTTAGTTAGTTAATTAAGTTTAGGGGTTATGTTTAGGGTCTAGATGACTAACTTGTAAGTCGTCTGGTGAATAATTTAAAACATATGACTTAGATGTAAGTCGTCATAATATTCCCGTCTAAAATTAAAAAAAAAATATTTTCCCGCTTAAACAAATTATTTTTTGGTGATATTTTTCTGGAAAAAAACATTAAATATAGTCTCGGAAGTCTTCTGTCTTTGCAGATACTGTAAGTTGTCTAGAAGACATTTAGGGAAGTTGACTGGAATAGTTGATCTTAAAAATATTTATAAATTTTGTATAAAAATATTTTTATAAGTGAAAATTTGAAATCATGTAATTATAAACAGTTTTAAGTAATATAAATTAAGATATAATAAAATTGAATTGTTTTTAACATCGATGAATGAAAGTAGTGAGTCTTTATATTCTTTGGTTTAGAGTTTGGCAACATATACTGTAGTATGGTATGTATTCTTAGGTTTACATTTTGGAAAGCTTAAATGTTTTTTTTGAAAAATTAAATTATTATCTATATATGTTTTGTTATGTGTATAATAAACACTTTTTAAATTTATATTTGATTTTAAGAAGTATTTATTTCTATTCAGTTAATTATTTGTGTTTAGGGTATAAATTTAGGATCTAGACAATTTCCAGAAAGACTCTAAACCGTATCTAATATTACTGCCTAAAATTTTAAGAAATTTTTATTTTTTCTTTTCTCTCTTTAAATATTATTTTATTCAAAAAATTAAAAGAATAAATTTAAAATTTTACATAATAATTAATTTATACTCAGTTCAAAATAAAAGTCTAAAAACTCCATGAGTTGTAGTTCTATTGAAAAAAAAAAAGAAAAAAAGAAGACCTAATTCTCTCCACTTATTCCTCTCAACCGTAATACAATATATCTCAGGGTCGTGTAGAAAAAAAATTTAAAAGTCAATTTCAAAAATAACCTCTACATTGACCAAATGACTTACCTGGAAGTCGGATGTACGAACAGATATGGAAAAAATCTTGATTTCATAGTTTCAACCAGAAAGATAACTTGTTCTGTGTGGTTTAGCACACAGAAGTCACCAGAATCTCAAAGAAAAGTGACCCACAAAAAAACATAATTTCAATGGCTTTATGAACCATAAAAATTTTAGAATCAAAATCTTGGTTTTTTTGATGAATATGGAGAAACAATGAAAGAGGTGTTGTTTTTATTTCATAGAAAGAAGAAGTGTAAAATCAATTTGAAGTGCATTAAGAACTACAAATTGGTTGTTCATGGTGGTTGGTGTATTGTTGGCAGTGACAAACTTGTAAATACTTGAAGATGATGAGGTTGAGAGAGTAAAATGTCATTTTCGAAAGAAAAAAAAAATATAGCATTTTCATAAATAATGTGAACTTGTGGAATGAATAGAGCAAAAAAAAAGGTGTTTTTTTTTTGCAAATTTGACTCAAAACTCAAAGTCAAACACAAAACTAACATTTTTATAATTTTTTGGCCTATTCACCTCACATGTTCATATTATTTACGAAAATACCATTAAATTTTATTTTATTTTTTTGAAATTTTTTTTTTATTCTCTCAACCTCATCATCTTCAAGTAGTTACAAGATTGACATTTCCATCAATACCTAAACCACCATGAACAACCAATTTGAAGCTTTTAATGCACCTAAAATCGATTTACACTCTCTCTTTCTCACATGTTATGAACTAAAAACAACATCTCTTTCACTTTTGTCTCCATATTCATCCAAAATACTCAAGATGTTGATTCAAAATTTTTATGGTTGATAGAGCCATTGAATCATACTATTCTTGGTGAGTTACTTTCGTTTGAGGTTATGGGTGGTTGGAGAAAACTCTGTGTGCTAAGGAAGTCATCTCACTAGTTTAAAGTATGAAATTGAAAATTTTGACATATCTGTTTGCGTAGAAGACTTACCCGCTAGTCATCTGGCTGTAGAAGACTTACGAGTATGTCTTCTGGTCAAAAGGATGACTTAAGTTTAAGTCGTCCAGCTTTGTTTGTTAAAAAAAAATTAGAGAATAACCTAGACGACTTACCACTAAATCGTCTAGGATAAACGAGTCAGTTTTGTATTTAACCGAATTATGTCAGTTATTTGACTTTTCCTAGACGACTTACCAGTAAATCTTTTATGGGAAAACAAAAATTTCAATATTTATTAAAGCTAGACGACTTATTTGTAAGTCGTCTCAGATTAATTTTGCAATTGAAAAATAAAACTTAAGTATTTAATTTTTCGCAGACGACTTTAAATAAAATCGTCCAGGATAAGCAAAGTCGTCCAATTTTTTTTCTAATGAGATTAGAAGATAGAGAAACTCTTGTGTGTGTTCTAGTGACTAATCTGTATCTATAATAAGTTTTAGTAGACAATACGGTCCTCTGTTAACATTACCAATTTTATGTGGCTGTTATTTTTGTAATGATTTTCTATATAAAGATGTATGTAATTAGAACATGTGCTAACTATGTGTGGATGATACTTTATAAATGTAGATACAATCATCTGATGTTACCCTTTTGGGGGCCATATTGTGCGTTTAATAGTGTATCATTGTATATATCTTTACTTTTCAAACATCCAACAACATTATAATAGTCCATATTACCCAAATTTATAAGATAACATCTAACAATATATTCACTACAAGAAAACACGTCCTTTACTAGGATGGGTTTTCCTCGTTATTTCTTAGTAAATGGCCCTTTACTAGGAAATAACGAGGAAACGTGTTTCGTCGAAAGACGTTCATCGTAAAGCCTATTTTCCTCGTAAAGGCGTAGCTACTTTACGAGGAAAGCTTTCCTCGTAAAGCCGTGGAAACGATTTCCTCGTAAGCTCCACGTATACTTT